GCGTCTGCATGGCATTTGCGCAGGTGAGGCAGTGGCCGGCCAACTGGCTGGTGATGGCAGTCCCCTCTGAGAGCCAGGTGCACTCAATTGTCCAACCACTGACACTGTTCTACCAAGATTGTCCAGAACCACCCACTCTTTGTCTGCACCCACACACCCATCACACCCTTCATCTACTCAGGATAATTCAGGCTAACTCTTTTCAAACAGTCACTTGCACTAGCTGTTCTCACCACCAAACATTTAAAATAAATCACCAAATATTTCAGATAGCTCACCAGATAACTACGTAGTCAGACTTCTTAGTTAGTATTTATTCCAACAAACCAGTCAAAGGGATGTCAAGAGAGAGACGGAAACAGGATGAGAGAGATTGTTGGCATGGCGATGTGCTGACTGTTGCTATTTGTTTCTCCTCACACTTACAAGAGGTCTAGGAAGGAAGAGGTCTAAGAGGAAGAAGGTCTAAAACAGAGATGTTTCCTTTATATGGAGCTTTGGTAGAAAGTGATCATGTTATGTGTTATGCTTCAGTATGATACATGTCTGTAGAGCATTAGCTCAAGGGCTGTTCGATTAATAATTTTACTTAATAACAAAGGGGAAAATGTTTTGTCTGCTATTTTCATATTATTGGTTTTGTGTGGTTAAAAAGTACCAGAGTGTAATATCCAACTTCATGGCATCATGTATGTAGGGCCAGTTGATGAGTGTTTACTCAGCTAACTCTGTGTTTATCATCATGTCTCCAGGCTGCTGAGAGAGCAGTGGATCAGAGCCAAGTACGAGAGGAATGAGTTTGAGTTTATCGAGAAACAGGAGCCATACTCTGCAGGTACATGCATATACTAGCATGTCTGTATTATAATGCATGTGAAGACCCTCATCAGTTACAATCTTTCCCAAAGATTAATCCTAGTACTGCCCAAGCTGATACGGCTGTTTACCCCTTTCTGAGTAAATAGTGTGTGATATTGAGCAAAGTATACTTTTGTGACCCATTTTTGAAGAATGTGTTTCTAGTAGGGTCACTACCTGCCCAAATGCTCATAAGTGAATATTTAATAATGGTTTATGCAGAGACAACAGTTAACAGTTATCATTGTAATGTCCAGCATTCAGAGATACAGTATATAACGTATAATGGTTTGCAGTTTGCTTTTGAAAGGTTTGGCTTGGAAGAGCACTTGAACACTTAAAATAGCTATGCTAACATCAAAGGTTTTGGATTTTCTGATTATATAATAAAAAAGACTGCAACTTTCACTATTGTTTTTGTATTGAATTTGTATAAGGGTTGGGACGATGTGACCTTTTCTCATTATGATTTGATGCATGATATGGTGTGTACGATTCAATTCGATCACAATACAATTAAAAATCCGATCACAACAGTGTATGCTGCAGAATACTTGTATTTTACTCCTCTTTTTATCCCCTTTTCTGGCACTGGTTTGATTAAGAACAACCAAATATACTGACTTATGTTCTGTTAGGCTATCTTATTTACAAAAAATAGGACGTCACCAGTGCATGGAGACCACACGATATATATTGCTAGACAAAATGATACATATTGTGATGTTTTTGTATTGTGATATATTGAATTTTGATATATTATTCAATTCCTAATTTGTATTATTGACAGTTCCCTCATTTTTTGAAAAGAAAGATGCCAAATCAATATGGTGTCACGCTCAACATCATTTATAGGCTCCAAATGGACACAGCTGACTTCCTGTCATGTACAGATGCTTTAGAGCAGATGTGGTTGCCAAGATAAGAAGTATGCAGGAGAAAGAACACAAATATGCACAGATTCATATGTGCACCAGCATACTTACTCAGAGTTTTTCCATCTAAAACAAAGCAAAAGTTGCTGTTTTGTTGTCATGTCAGGTTGTATTGTTTACCCTCCAATCAGCAGAACCTTGAAAAATCCTTGAACAAACATACAGTATATCCCAGTGGATGCCGGTAGCAGGGATTCACTTACCCTGAAACATCCATCAATGGCGTTCATTTTCATCTTCTTGTTTTCATTGTTTACCTGTTTTCACCTAAACCCATATTCAGACAGAACTGTCATAAAACATTGGATACACACACACACACACTCACATGCAGACAGAGTATAGTAATATGAGTCATTCTCTTCTCCATATTTGTGCATTGATGCTCTTTTCATCTGACTGTGAGGTGTATGACAGGTGTGTTTGTGTTGTGGTGTGTGTGGTGGTGGTGGGGGGGGGGGGGGGTGATATTTACTATTGGCAGTAACCTGGCCTACACAGCAGCTAATGTTAACATTGATCCAGTATGCAAAGGATAGGAGGAAGAAAAAGAGTGAGGCAAAAAAGGCAAGGGTGGGGACAAGAAGGGCTATTGATCGATGAGGTAATGCCAGCGTAGGCAAATGCTCCATGTCAGAAAAACAATCATAGAGAGAGAGATAGTGTGTACACACACACACACACACTGAAGACAAAATGACAGAGGAGAGTGATCAGTGACAGTGAATAAGGGCAATGGAAAAGAGAGCAGCAGCGTGATAGAAACTGTGCATGAACATGAAAATGAGGCATGATGAAATTACGAATCAATAGACATTCTGTTTGCTGTATGTGAGGTTTTAGCTTTTGATGTTTAACATCAGGTTTGTCAGTATAAACTCACAGTGTTCACAAGCACTGAGCAAACACAAGTTGATTTTAAAGCTGCAAGTATTTTTATATTAATATTCATTCAGCTGATTTACTGTGATGTGAAAGGGTTTGCTCATAGTGACTGGCCCACAGTATTATCACCCATCCCCTCAGTTCTACAGAACATTTTAGTATCTTTTGGCCTCTTCTTGCAACTTTAAGCTAAGTTGCGTTATTTACATCCCACAACTCGCTGCTTAATTGAGTCTCACTGCTCTCATCATTCCTCTTTCCAGCCACATCAAGCAGCCAGCTGTTTTGAGTGTAAAAGCTCTGATAAACCCACCATCAAAGGTTATAGCGGCTAGGTAGTGAACATAGCAAAGCATTTACAAAAGCAGCTAACAAGCTAGATATTCTTCTTAGGAATTGGTGGAGACTAATTGAGGAGGTTTGGCATGTCACCTAGGATACTTTGCAATTTCTACAGCTGCATCGTCGAGAGCATCTTGACCAGCTGCATCACTGTCTGGTATGGCAGCACTACTGCTATGGACCGCAAGCGCCTGCAGAGAGTGGTAAAGACTGTGGAGAAGATCACCAGGACTCCACTGCCCGCTCTGCAGAGCATTTACCACCTCAGGATGCGTAGGAAAGCTGCCTCCATCCTCAAAGACCCCACCCACCCCCAGCACGGACTGTTCACCTCCCTACCCTCTGGCTGGAGGTTCATTCAGAAGTGTGAAATGCAGGACCACTAGACTGAAAAACTCTTTCTTTGCCTCTGCCATCAGACTCCTAAACAGCTGACAGGAGTTTATTAGCAGGAAATATGTCATGAAATGCAAGACAGCGCGCACCGAGGCAGACGTGTTTGCACGTTCCACTCTTGAATGTCGTTTTTTTTTTTCGTTTTCTTCTTTTTTGTGTGTTTTTTACTCTTTCTGCAGTGCACAAATGCCATGCACTGCTTACATACAACAGACAGGCATTGCTGGATATCGCCAACTTACACAGGCACTGGGAATTTACTGGTTTCATACCACCGGAGCTACAACTCATTGTCCGTTCCCGCAACAACAACAACAACGACGACAACCACCATCACCCTCAGGCAGCCCCCGGAGCACCAGGCACAAGCGAGCAGGCTGAAATCAGGAGAGCGACCCGGAGACGGAGGCACAAACGGGGCAAGAGAGAAGGGCTTCATGCTAGGCTAAAAGCTCTCGCTACTCGACTGCCATTACCCAGCCTCTTCTAGCTAATGTACAGTCTCTGGAAAACAAACTGGGCGAGCTAAGGGCTAAGATTACAGCACAACAGAAAATCAGAGAATGCTGTGTTCTAATTCTCACCGAGCCTTGGCTTTTTGATAAAGTCCCAGACTTCGCGATTCAGCTACAAACACATTCTGTACATCGAAGCGATCACACTGCTGCTTCAGGGAAGGTAAAGGGAGGTGGTGTGTGCGTGTTTATCAATAACTCATGGTGTGGAGGTGTACGGACTGTTTATAAGCACTGTTCGCCAGACGTAGAGTTTTAATTACTGAAATGTCGGCCCTATTATCTAGCAAGAGAGCATAGTGCTGTGTTTCTGGCTGCTGTGTATGTTAGCCCAAGAGCTAATCCCTCTGTGGCTCTCAGTAAACTCTATGATGTCATCAGCGCGCTAGAGACAGCTCACCCCGATGCTGTACTTGTCGCTGCAGGCGACTTTAACCAGTGCAATTTACGGACTGTACTCCTCAAATATTACCAACATGTGAACATTCCCACTCGGGGCAAGAACACTCTGGATCATGTTTACAGTAACATACGTGGTGCATACAGGGCTGCACCCCGCCCCCACCTTGGAGTACAAAGCTGCAAAGTACAGACTGAGGAAAGCCATCACAGTGGCCAAGAGGCAGTACAGAGAGAAGTTGAATGGCTTCTATTCTACTGCTGACTCCGGACGGATGTGGCAAGGCCTGCAGCACATCACAGACTACAGGACCACCACCAGCATCATCAGCTCCACAGACAGCCTGCCGGATGACCTCAACACATTCTACACCCGCTTTGAGACCTCCAGCTACAGCACAGAGAGGAGGCACACAAACACCACCCAACCCCCCACCTCCCCTTCACTAACTGTCTCACCAGGCCAGGTGCGCACAGTCTTGAGGAAGATCAACCCCGCAAAGCTGCAGGACTGGACAACATCCCTGGGAGGGCTCTCAGGGCATGTGCCAGCGAGCTGGCTGATGTTCTGACCGCTATTTGTCTAATCCCACTCCCTGGTGGATTAGTGGAAATATAAGAAAGCCTATGGACTGGTCTGAACCTGGAGTCTCTGAGGCAGAAAGATAATGTGGGGCTGCCTGGAGTCTGAGAGCTACAAATTAGCCTCGATTTTTGTGTCTATCGCCTGAAAGGACGGCACCATACGCAGGGCAATAATCATATTTTGTGTGATTCCATAATTTTAAACATTTGCAAGTATTTTTGGTTGGTATATCAGTAATACTACACTGTGCTACTTCTACACCCTGTTCACCCACGACTGTTGCCTTCCACAAAGACAATATCATCCTGAAGTTCCTGGACGACACCGCAGTGATAGGTCGCATCACTGGCGGGGATAAAGCAGCTTACAGGAGGGAGGTGGCCGGTCTGGTGTCTTGGTGCAAGGACAACAGTTAAGCCAAGTTTAGACTTTGGATTAGGTCAACGAGGTGTCATAGAAGACAGCCTCAACACAGACAAGACGAAGGAGTTGATAGTGGACATGAGGAAGGAGAGGAGATGTCATCAGCCACTGTTCATCCAGGGGCTCGAAGTGGAGAGGGTGAGCAGTTTCAAATATCTGAGCGTCCACATCAGTGAGGACCTGTACTGTCTGCATTCTCAGTTTGCACATGCATAACTGCACAATGACTGTTGACTGCTGCACATGCTGCTCCCATGCAGCATATATTCTCTTATTATATTCTTATATATTTTTATTATATCTCTTCATTTGCTGTTTTAAAGTGCCTTAGATCTTGTGTTACTTATTTATCTGCTTTATATGTAATTTGTATTGTGTGGCTTTCATGTGGATGGCAAAGTAAGAATTTCATTGTACAGGGAAACGCGTTTCCGTACTGTGCATATGACAAATAAACGTTTTGACCAAAACAGAGCCAAAAGGAAAGTGAGTACCAGAACTGCATTCCTCAGGTGAAGAGAAAGATGATCAAAAAAAATGTTAATATTGCCCCATATCTATGTAAATCTGCAGCTGTGTGTAAAGTTAGATTGCTTAAGCAAAAAATATCCTTTTGTTATAATTTGTGTGACATAACCCCTCTCTACATACATGACAGAAATCTTTCTCCTTAATATGTTCTTTTTTATATGCGTTCCTATGTATTCCATCAGATCAGATTTTGCACCCCCTTACTTGTCATTTCCAGTGAAGGAATTGTAACCTATTTGGCAATTATCACCCATAAAACACTCATAATCACACAACTGGCTAGAATAACTTCCAGCCACTTCACTTCTTCACTTCATTTCTTTGGGGTGCTGTTCTCCCCCCATTCATTCCACAGAAATAAAGCCAGATTAAAAAGAAGACACTTCACAGTGTTACAGAAATAAAAGACATAAGAGAGAAAATGAGACAATGTAGTCAGAGCATTTAAAAGAGGCTGAAGAAGAAGACACTACAGGCTATAAATAGAACAGAATATCATTAACATGAAAAAGAATGTTCTTTGGTACAGCAACTATAAAATTTCTGTATGTGCTGTGTCATGCTTTACTTCCTGCTAAAAGCTTTCCTCTTTTGTCCATTTGTGTTTTGGATGTTCCACTGCTTTTTCTCACTCTCATACACTGTCTGCTTTTTCTTGCTTCTTCTGTAAATGAGATTTGAAACGATCTTTGATTTAAGCTTAACTGCAGGATCATCTTACGCCAATCAGTACAACATCTCACCATTACTATTATAAATGTCTCCTGTGTCTCATCCCTCGTGTCCTCTGATGGGTTTTTGATACCAACCTCTCAACCACACACACAGACACTTGTTTTTTTTTTCTAATTGCCCAGGGTACCGAGAGGGGTTTCTATGGAAACGAGGAAGAGACAACGGTCAGTTTTTCAGCCGAAAGTTTGTTCTGTCGGAGAGGGAGGGAGCGCTAAAATACTTCAACAAGCAGGACGTAAGCAAGATGATACAGTCAGAAAAAGTTCACTTTGGTAAAACCCAGCTATATTCAGGAATTTGAAGCTTCTACAATGTCCTGTTTGTTATTTGTTTGCCTCTGTCCAGGCGAGGGATCCCAAGGCAGTGATGAAAATTGAGACCCTCAATGCCACCTTCCAGCCAGCCAAGATTGGCAACCCCTGTGGCCTGCAGATCACCTACCTGAAAGACAACAGCACAAGGAACATCTTTGTCTACCACAATGATGCTAAGGTACGCCATCGCACTGGTTTTTGGACTCATACAGACTTGAGAATGCTTAGTGTTCATCCTTCTTTTCCCTCAATTGTTTTCCACAATGCAGTGACATGTTTCTCAGTATGCTCCATGTCAGCTTTCAGATTGCAGTAATACATGCCACTAATACAGGGTTGGTAGTATATTATGCCTGCTGTCTGCTTTTCTAAACTTGGGCTTGGTAATGTCCTTTAATAATTAATTTCCTTTTGGTTTTCATGTAACTGCCAATTTGTAGTCTCACAAGCATGGGTAACTTCAGGGCTTTCAGGAAGTAGGAATTTTAGACAGTAACATTTGTCAGAAACGTAATGCGGCCGAAAAGGGTTTGGTGAACTCATTAAATGGCCAGACAAGGAAGTGATGAACAAAACCGTCTCTTTAATAAGAGAACTAAAACTAAACAAAACCATACAAGACAAGGTGAAACACAAAACTCACGGTCGGTATCAGTCCCAGGTCAGAGCCAGCAAACACATACATCCAGGGGAATCCAAAGTTCGTTGTCCAAAAGAGAAAGTCCGATAATCATACACCGTGGCAGTCCGTAACAAGTGGGCGAGGCAGAATAGAATAGTCCGAGGTAACAGTCCGAGATCAGAAACACAAAATA